CTAACCGCATTTTGGGTCCATTTTTCATTGAAGGCGCATTAACAGGTGAAAAATATTTTGAATTTTTAAGAGACGATTTAGTCCCTGCACTTGCGGTGCTTTACCCAAATGACGTAGATCCCGATCTGCCCAATAACACGATATGGTACCAACAAGACGGTGCACCTCCTCATTTTGCAGTGATCGTTCGCGACTATTTAAACCAAATATTTGCTAACCGTTGGATTGGTCGAAGAGGAACTATCGAATGGCCCCCTAGATCTCCGGATCTCACTCCCCTAGACTACTTTTTATGGGGCTATTTAAAGAGCAAAGTCTACTTCAATAGACCAAATACCATTGAAGAATTAAAGGACAGAATTCGCAATGAAATTCGAGCCATTCAACCAGATATTCTTCATAAGGTTCTGCAGGAGTTTCAGTGGCGAATGGGATATTGCCAAGAAGTGAATGGAGGTCACTTTGAAAATTTCCTTTGATTTTCTTGTTTACTTTAATTATTTATCATTTGTACAGAAACCTTTTTTCATTTGTTAAAATTGTTGCTGATTATTACTTAAAAAATTAAACAAATTGCTACTAAAATCTCTTAAATGTTCGATAAGCTCTTAAAAAACTTGACCCACACGATACCTTGTATATGGTACATCCTTGAAACTTTGGAACCTAATAGACAGTTTAAGTTATGTATCCGACATAACGTATACGTAGAATTTGACCGTTGCGCATGCTCAAATTAGTATCATGATCATCTACAATCAACTTAAACTGTCTATTATCTCGAAAACTTCCATCTTGAAGGTCATACGTTTTTGACATATTCGTACTCAGAAAAATGTGATCTATCGAAATCCGTGGGAAAAAATATGGGTTGCCATTTAAAAAAATTTCCGATGACGTCATAGCTCAAAAACAAACAAAACAAAAAAAAAGTCGATGGCTGAAAAAAGTGAGATTTTATAAACTAAAGTTGACGTATCCGAGGATTTCCTGTCAAAACCCTTCAATAACGATTTAACGAATTTATTCCAAACTTTACGAGCTCAGTGTATATATATATATATATACAGCGTGTCCTACTCGAACTCCATCGATGGATATCTGGGAAATCGCTTGAAGGATTTTTTTTGAAATTGTGGTGGTGTGATACGGGAGTTAAAGTATTTTCAAGGTCATCGTACTTCCGGTTATACTGGAAATCGATACTAACTTTCTTATTTTAAATGAAACCCCTTGTATATTATTGCATTTTTGGAAAGAGCATTTATTTTTAAGTTGGAAACATATAGTACACTCTCCATACTTAGGATTGACCGTTTCTGAGATATTTTGATGTATAAGCAAAAATTGACAGATGCAGACTTTAGTTTTCCCGGAAACAGAGGTGAGGTTTATTTTTTATGCGAATTGGACATTTTGTAGATATCCATCCATGGAGTTCGTGGTGGGACACCCTGAATTGTTATTAATTAATTAATGAATTAAAGTTAATATGTAGTAATTATATACAACATGGCTTCCATCTGTTTTTTTGCAACTTGAAATAATTGAGAGTTTTTCATTAATTCCGATTGATCTGTATTTTGAAAATGAAGCTTTTTTAGATTTATTATGTTTATATGAATTGTTTTAATTAATGCTACTCAAGCATTTTAGTTACATCCTGTATGCAATATGTCTACGGGGAATACGGTTTTATTTCTCATTTTAAGGAATTCAGGAAAAAAAATAAAAATTATATTAGAGGAAATTGTTTTTAATTTAAAGAAAGTTGTTTAAAATTAGAAGTTGGCAGAAGTTAAACTTATTTTTTATTTGATGAAAAAAAGTTCTTCCTGTTAAAAAAGTCTGCTTGTTTAAATGGTGAAAAATGTTGTTTAAAATGGACCGATATATTCTTTTTATAAATTACATTGCCATGGTAGCGCAGTCGGTCGAGAGTGTGGTGGCAAGCATTTCTCGGCTAGGCTTCCTACTCTGGTCCGGGTTCGATCCCCGGTGTCGGCACTGGCAATGTTGACGGATAATGGGTGTTTGTCCGCGTTTTTTCAAGTGTAGCCCCCTTCCGCACAAGCCTTTGGCTTTTGGATTTGGGGGTTGTCTCATTTCTGCGGTGTGTTTTATGTTTTATGTTTTATTCAGTAATTTGTATAATCACAAACTAAACAAAACCTGAAAGGTTTTCAACATATCGCAATGAGGTACAGATGAGCATCTTTAGTAAATGAATTATTTGCTTTCCGAGTATGATATATCTCTATATAAACAAAAATAAGTATAAATTCAATGGCTTGACTAATCCTTTCATCACAAAGGTTTTGAAAACTGTTTAATGACTAATTTAATTAATTTGTAAACATTTTTGTCAATAAACTTTCTTCACATTGAGAAAAATAGACTTTTTAATCACGTTCTGTACTATTAGAGATATCCCTATCATTATAATCCTAAGAGTATTATCCAAATATATAAAAATATACAGGATGTTCTATTAAAAAAAAATACAAATTTTTTTTATATCTCCGAAAGGCTTCTATTGTTTTGCTAAATATTGCTTATAAATTTCAACAAAACTTCCTAAAACTGGTTGTACAATTTTTTTCAAAGTCAAAAATAAGGTGTAGAATGTTTTGAAAGCATCATTGAAAATGAACATAACTTTTGAAGTCCTCTGTGAAGTATAGAAAGTGTGGTAAGTACATAATTATACCACAAGATACTTAATATTGAAAAACAAATGTGTTAAGTACTCTAACCGTATATGTAGTAAAAATCAAAATGTTACCAGTACCTACTACATTCGTTCAATGTCTATCGCATATAATTATGAACATTTAAAATTTATTATAACTTAAAAATGCGGATCCAACTTATTCCTAATAATGTCTTACCTCAGTGGTGTTATACATTCATACTGTAAACAAACATCAGAAGGGTCTTCAACAGCTTGAAATTTAATATTTGCCTTCGAAAATATTTCACATTCATAGTTTTTATGGCAAGAAAGATTTTCACAGTCCGAGCCACATACCGGCCATGAACACTTTGAACATAAGACAGTACAGTCCACTAAATTATGACATCCTAAACACAGACACGCACTATCTGAAATTAAAAAATCTTATGCATATATATCCTTCAACACAAAAATGAGTTATGTTACCTGACTTAGGCCCATAAGCAAACGGTTCTTCGGAAAAAATTATATCTCCAGCATTTAATTTCTCCTTTGCAACAGCATATCTTCCAACATTATCATCTCTCTCAATAGTAAAATGAACCTGTTAATGTGATATTAAGTTTAAAACTCAGTTAAATGTTTTAATTTTTGATATAAAAAAATTATATGTTCTTTTACAAAAAAACATGTTTAGATTTGTATTAAAATAAAACAAAATCGATAATTCTGAACAAGACTTACCTCGTCAGTCATTTTAAACTTATGGTATTTTCAATGTTTCCCAACTATTCACAAGTTTTATGTGTCTGTATACTTTGAAAGAAAAGTTTTTACAAGCTGTTTTTATACTATTACGAACATTCTGGCTTTTTCTGCTATGTTCTTAAATCTATTTTTAAATGAACCACATTACTTGTTGATGCTACTGGTGCTGTAAATAGCACTGTTGTGAGAGTTGGGTAAATAAACAACTTCCATTCATTAATAAATAGCACACTGCTGCCAAGAACTTTACTTTTATTATCTAATTTTATGTTACTTAATTTTGTTACCAAACAGCGATGTACTTGAAAGATCTGTTAACATAAGTAAAAAACAAATGAGGTTCAAATATTTTTTTATTAAATAGACCCTAGAAACATGCATATTTGGAAATAAAAATTTCTTAAAAAGTATCAATCTGATTGCGAGTTGGGTTTGACGTTTTTAGGTGCCAGTTTTTTTCTAGGTGTCTCTGAAGTAAGTGTCAAAATTTAAACCATGTATTAATCTACCACTCATCAAAAGCAGCAACTTTTATTTAATAAATTTTTTCAAAAACTTATACATTTTTGTCTGGTATTTTGTATAGGTACTTCATTAAAATAACTTGCAGCCTATAGAATAAAGAAATACCTAATGCGAATATTTTATGGAGTGATTCTCTGTCTTAAATAAATACTAACAGTAATTAACTCCAATTTCTTATGCCTTTGTTGATTATTAACCCAACTAAGCATTTCAACTTATGTACCTACTTTTGATGGCTAAAATATTGGCAGTTATTTCTGTGACACCCTGTATACAATATTATATTCGAAACCTAATCTAAATCTGATTCCTACTGCAATTTTTTTACTTCGAGATAAAATGTGCAAAAAAGGTTTAAACTCTTTATAAATGTGCAGATTACCTCTATTTGTCTATATTAATTTAGAAAACAATATTAAATGAGTACAAAATAAAACAAATGACAAATTAAAATATACCTACTACCTATTACGTTAACTTTAAACTTAAAAAATTGGCTCCTTACGAAATCGTATCAAAATGTGCAATTATGAGGAAGTCATATACTTTCCAAATATAGACATTCTTAGATCTATGTAATGAAAAATTTGAACAGTATTTGGTTTTTACATATTTATACAGGTAAATTTATAATTTGGGACACCTGCAGTATAATTTAAAATTTCACGTCTCCTTGTTTAAGAGAAAATTTAAATCATTAAATTAAATTGCCAAAAGCTTAATGATCCAAATCCTCATTTATTTACGTTTAAAGAGTTATTGTTATTTGACATATACAATAAGAAATAAATGACTATGGTTGACATCAAATCCAGAACAATTCCGTTATTGGTGCAATGTGCAAAATAGTCCAGATTCAAAATAATAGTAAACAGATTGTTCTTTTATTATAATAAACTCATTTGACCTCAAATATTATTAGTACTGGACCTATGCCAATAGGAAATTAGTAGTATAGTACCTGTAAACATAGACCGCATGTTTCTTTAGTGTAAAGACATACAGCTTTTAATTCCTACTTCCATAGAAATTAAAGTACCATAATTTTTATTGGGATAATATCTTATTTATTGTTTTTCAAACTATTATTTTGTGCACCAGAACATTTCCGAAATTCTAAATTTGAAAAAAATAACTACACAGGCTTTTTGTTTGTTATCCATTTTTGGGGAAAATGAAAGTTACGGTCAAATTAAATACCAATGAAATACTATCAGTGTCAAATAATAATTGTCAAAATATTGATTGTCTAGTCACAAAACCTCCGAGTCCTACTTTAAAATAACCTGTTTTTTTTATCCTTTTTTATTGAGGTTTCTGGCTAAAAAACTTTTTAGTTTTTTTAGAAACCGATGCAAACAAATCAACCAATTTCAAAATTATTTTCAATTTATTCAACTTTGCGGTAAGTTTATTTTAGGCTATTTTTTTACTAATTATTTTAATTAATTGGAAGAAATATTTTTTAAAATATAATTAGGAATTTAATAGACTAATCAAATTTTCAAAGAACTCGGTGGCATAAATATTCTGGTGTTTTAGTGACGATATCTCTCAGTATCTCCATCACTGTTTGATGTAAATGTATTTAAACCTCAATAAATTTTTACTTACTTAGTTAAATCACCAGCCCAGCTTTTATTATTTTACGTCAAACATTTTTCAAAGTATTTGAATAAATGTAGTACTTTCAGACTCCTTTTTTTTAAATAATTTAAAAAATCACCGTCTTTATTGCCAAAACTTGCCTAAAGATCGGCTTTTGTACAGGGTATTTCTAAATATGGTGCCAAATTGGAACAGAAGATAGGAATGTTATTTTAAGCAAAAAGTATTGAATGAAAATGGGTCCGAAAATATTTAATAAACTGCTAGGTACACTGCTTCATTAAAAATATTTTTTAAAGTTTAATCAGATTATCGAATTTTTTTATAAATGAGAATCAAGATTTTTCCAAAACATTTTTGTCATCTGAGTTAAATAATAATCCCAACAGCATTGGATCTTACCTTTATATTTTTTGAGTTGCAACTCTTATGTGGTTAGCCATGCGCTACCTAGTGGTGACATGATGTACCATCCTTTTCGTGATCAGAATATCAAAGTATATGACATGAGAAGTACGTAATAAGTGTTGTAAAAAGCATTTTACGCACGAATGGAAAAGTTGCGCACGACGCCGCGTAGCGGCGAGTGTGTAGTTCTATGAGTGCGTAATTGCATTACACCACGTATTACATACTATACTTTACCTACGACCACTACTGTAAATACTTAAAAACACACGGTCTGAGATCGATGCAAGATTCATATTACGTACGGTAAAAAAATCGCACAGCTTGGTAAAAAAATCGTACAGTTTTCCTAGCAACCGCCTAGCAACAGTCAATACAAACAGTATCGCTGAAAGCCATTTTCCATTAGATTATGGCGGGGTTCTTTGAAATCGGTTGGAAATCAGTTTGACGCCGCACGTGTGCAGTGAAAAATTGATAATCGGTTGGAAATTGTATTCTGCGAACAAACCTAATAAGTTTTTTTTTTCCTTTTAAAATAATCTTTCACAAAAATTATTTTATCCAAAATTCATGGGCAATTTTCGTAAGATAAAAAACACCAAATGCGCTCTGCGGATCTGCCACTGTAATTGGTTATCTATTTCATGACTGACCCGGTGAAATTGATGTCCTAAAAAAAAAGGTCTTAGAAAATGTGGGAGTCAAATTGTTTTCGAAGAAGACAAAAATATATTCTTTATTCTTTGTGACCTGGGAAAATGAATTTCGGAGGTAGGGCGTTGTATAGTTGATGTCTGAAAAAAAAAACAAAAAATGTCGAAAATATCACGATTTTCCCGCCGCAACAAACAAAACCCGGAGAAATGACATGTTAACCCGGAGCCCGAAGATGTACCATCAAAAACCGAAAACTCCGGGTCAAACCCGGAGATCTGGCAAGCCTAACTGTAATTGAGGACAAAACTTTTCCCTGTAAGATAATTGCAGTTAATAATCAATCATTTCGAAGCTATGTATTTAAAAAATGTATTTTTTGGACATCTATCACCCTGCAACTTTTTCGCTAACAGTTTTGGACTCATCTCTTTTGGTGTGTAGGAAATTTGCTTAAAACTTAAATTTAATATTGTCTACTTCAGTTAAGCACTATATTTGAGAAACACCCTGTATAAAGGTTTATTATTAGAAAATAATTTATTTTTATCTATCAATAAAAAAAGTAATATTTTAACATCATATAACTATTTATTTGATAAAAATGTACAGTTAATACTTAAAATAACTAATTTTACTCTTACATGATATTTTCCAACAGATCTAACCTAAACTCATATAATACACATTTAAAGCAATAATCTACTTCGGAAATAAACTCTGAGTTCTAAAAAAATTCTCCTACAGAAAATAAAACATAGATCATTTCTAAACATATAGCAATTTGTCGCTGCAAAAAGAGTATAACTACTATAATCACAAAAATTTCAAGATAAATAATATACATATCACAACCGATTTTTCGTAAATCAAAAAAGTATAATCCAAAAATATACTCAGATCTCTAAACGTACAAATAATATAGAAATAATATACCGAGTAAGTACCTACGTAACGGCGGCATCCATCTTTAAGATCCCATTAGCAGAATTTAGGGCAAGTTTTTAGACTATTTTCAATGCTTGCACTATTCGTATATAATTACTACTTTAATGCAGTGATAGTCCAAAAAACGGTACTTTACCAACAACTGTTGCTAAAAAATAATACTGCAAGAAAATATTACTATAAAAGTGTAATTTGATGTAAAACACAGGAGGGTCTTTTGCAAACAACTACAAAACATTTAAGGGGTGACTCTATTCGTAGAAATAATGGTTCGAGTTTTCGTGACACTTTTTTGAAAACTAAATGAAAATTTATATCGATTGGCTTAACGTTAAAGACTTCCAAGTTGATACCATTTAATGTTAAAAAATGCCTTAAAATGGTCAAAAGATACCTATTTTGGTAGTATGAATGGAGCGGATTTGAATATAAAAGAAAATTTTATTTTTACAAGTCTTAAAATCTGGCCACATCATCTTAAATTGCAACAATGAGTGAATATTGTGAATTTTATAAACAACAGTATACCCAAAACTTGAACGGAAACATGGTCGCAAAATATTTTCCCGCAACCTAAAACATGTTTTTCTTGGAAATCGTTAAGGTTACCGATTTTCAACGTGGTAACCTCTAAGAACTGTTTAATGATCTTCAGTAAGGGGTTATATCACTTTGAAAGTTTTTTTTATTGGCTTAAAATACGCTAAAACATTCCTTTTTTACATGAAAACTCCGTAAAATTAATTGATTAATTAATTAATTAAGCGAAATTAATTTTGCTTCTATCATCGATACAGCATTTTTTAATTTCGTGCACGTAAAAATGCCTATAACTTGCCGTTCATTGAGAAAATACTTCAAAAGTGAACCATACAGGCTGTTACAAATTCGCTTCTCACTACGGGCATCTCGAAAACGGTAAGAGATACAAACTAGCTTAAATGGGGGCAAAGTTGCGTAATCAGGGGACCAACATTATGCCTCCAAAATTGATATTGAAAAA